CCAAAAACTTTGTCTTCAAAATAAGGGTGCATCTTATATTCCGAAAAATACGGTTATTTAGCTAGTTCTTAGACATGTCACACAACTGTTTGGTATATGAACCTATTCTTCGGACAATGCATATTATTAGTTTACCATTATTGTTATCTTTAGCTTGGAATTGTTTTATTTCAAAAGATTAAATTTTGTTTTTATCAGATATGACCCAGATTGTATAAACTACATCATCTATTTCTTATTTTTTTAGCAGATATGGTCCAAATGTACAAACTGCTAATGCTTAGTGTTTGTTATTGTTTTCCTTTATAAGATGTGCACCTGATTAGATGTATTAATTGTTTACGGTTATTGTGCACCTGACCAGATGTATAAACTATTTATGGTTATTGTTTTCCTTTATAAGGTGTGCACCTGAATGTATAAACTACTTGAGGTTTACGTCTGCTAGTGATGTCTGGGCATATGGCGTAACTTTGTGGGAAATTTTTAGCTATGGTTTTCAACCCTGGGCTGCTTTAACAGGACAGCAGGTTGGTTATTTAAGTTATAATCAGGACCCAAGAATTTGTACATTGTATAATACATCAATTGATGTCTAAAATACAGGACAGATAACATAATCTTATTAAGTAGATTTTTTGTCTAATACAGGACAAAATAATTATCTCAGGATAAAAATGTTATGTTCTATCAGATTCTGGAAGCAATTGATGAGCCCAGCTATCAACGACTTGAACAACCTGATTGTTGTCCTAAAGAATATTACTCCTTAATGTTGAAATGTTGGCAACACGATGCCAACAAAAGACCAAAGTTTTCTGATATTCTTCAGTTGCTACCTGAGGTAAGTGTTATTAGTCTTTTATGCTGAAACATTGGCAATACAAAAAGTATAAAACTGATGTTATATATCTGGAACATCTGACCAGTACCACAACACCTGACTATTGCCATCTCGCTAAGCAATACCACAACACCTGAATGGCAATGGCTCGCTAAGCAGTACCACAACACCTGACCATTGCCATCTCGCTAAGCAGTACCACAACACCTGACCATTGCCATATCTCACTAAGCAGTCTGACTATAAAGTAGAGCACCAATAGCAAAGAATGTGTAGTGTTGAAATGGAAAAGACAACATGTAGTGTTGAAATTAAAATGAAAATAAAGCACTTTTGTCTAAAGAGCAAATGAAAAAAAAATGCTAGTCAACTGATGTCAGACTATTGTGTTGCAAGGTAGGATACAAATAAAGAAAAATGTAAATGAATTAACTGTGTATAGCAAAGGACATCTTTAAATAAAGTGTACTTATTTTTGAATGGAATTTACAATACTCACAATCAGCATGTCTTAAGTCTCTCAAGACAGAAACAAGTCAGCTAAAACTGCATTAACAATTCATTCACCTTCTCTCTGTGGCTGACATGTCTGAAAATATCTGTGACAGTTGAATGACATTCCCACAAAGTAAAGTAGGACACAATTCAGTTATCTCATGGAACAGTAAATAACTTCCATCAGGTTGTCCTACAGATAGCAATACACCAGGTTGAACTTAGAATGTGGTCTCAACCAGATTTATAGTTTGTTCTATATTAGAATTTTAGAAAAATGTAATATTTTTTTGCAGATATAAAATATGTGTGTGTATACATACTGTTGCGTCAG